GACTGACCTAGGGTGAATTTTAAATAGGGATAATTTTTAATGATTTTAATAAGAGACACAGCTACAAATATTTGGTTTTTAATTGGCTTTTATTGGGGAAATGTACTATGTTGTTTTAATATGCTGTGAGCCGCCCTGAGTCCCGTGGGGAGAAGGGCGGCATATAAGTCTTAAAAATAAATAAATAAATAAATAAATTAGTCAAGCTATTCTCCAAAATGCCTGAAGGCAGGACAAGAAGCAATGGATGGAAACTAATCAGGGAGAGAAGCAACCTAGAACTAAGGAGAAACTTCCTGACAGTGAGAACGATTAACCAGTGGAACAACCTGCCTCCAGAAGTGGTGAATGCTCAACACTGGAAGTTTTTAAGAAGAGACTGGACAGCCATTTGTCTGAAACAGTATAGGGTTTCCTGCCTGAGCAGGGGGTTGGACTACATGACCTCCAAGGTCCCTTCCAACTTTATTTTTATTATTATTAACCCCAACAATTCAGATAGGAAGTCCCTTAAGAATTCAAACAGACAGTTTTTTATTATTTAAAAGTTCCAGGTGCACCAGGTACAGCATCTGAAAATGTGGTTGTGTTCCTGGATTCAGCCACTTGATGGCAAAGGTAGTGTAGGCAGGTGGAAATCTCTTTGGGCCCATTATTGTCCCTGGAAGTGGACACTACTGAAGCCCCGGACCTCTGAATTGATGGTTTCGTGGATTTTTGCAGAATTTCTCTCCACGTTCCAAGCATTTACGTGGCTTCTCCCGTGTGGATCATTCTGGGTAGAGTTAAGGGACCCGTTTTTAATGGAATGCCTTCCCACACTTCTTGCATTTATGAGGTTTCTCCCCGACATGGACCCTTTTGTGGGATTTAAGGTTACCCTTCTGGGTAAAACTCTTTCCACACTCCGTGCACTTATGCGGTTTTTCCTCGGTGTGGATTTTTTTATGAGAATTAAGGTTACTGCGCTGGTTGAAACTCTTTCCGCATTGCCCGCATTTGTACGGTTTCTCCCCGGTGTGTATCCTCTTATGGGATGTAAGTTGAAAGTTATGGGTAAAATTCTTTCCACACTCCCCACATTTATACGGTTTCTCTCCTGTGTGATTCATTCTGTGAGAATTAAGATTAGCCTTATGGTTAAAGCTCTTTCCACAATCTATGCACCTAAATGGTTTCTCCCCCGTGTGGATTATTTTATGGGAAGTAAGGTATCTACGCTGGCCAAAACTCTTTCCACATTCCATACATTTATATGGTTTCCCCCCTGAATTGATCTTTTCATCTGGAGCAAGGGAACTGCTCTGACTGAAAGGTTTCCTGGTCTCTTTGTAGGGTTTATTTCCCACATTGGTTTTTCCATGTTTAGAAAGGATATTATTGTAATGTTTTTCGTCCTCTTGGCATGTATTCTCTTCTTTAGTTCGAACTGGGTACTGCTCACATAAATCTAAGCCTCCTTCAAAGGTTTCCACACTTTCCACTTTTATTTTTTCTTTCTGATCTCCTTTGGGAAGAAAGTCTTGAATTTTAGAAGATGGCGAAGTTGGGCAAGCCTTGCTGTCATTTGCTGGTAGTTTTTTTCCTTTTGTTCCCACTGGATTTGCAAACTCCTCTCGCCTCTCTCCTTCATCCCTGAACATTTGGAAGGCTTCTTTGTTCTCCTGAGCGTGATTTCCTTCAGAGAAAATGAATGAATGAAAATTGAGGCAAGGCAAAGGGGAAGCAAAATGAGAATTCATAGCACAGGAAATAAAATTTCCTAGTGAAATTCTGTCAAGGGTTCTGCGCTATTTTGAAAGGGGTTCTGCTAATTCACATTAAACAGTCTGGCCTAAGCCAGTGGTCCCCAACCTTGCTGGCTTTGCGGCCTGGCAAGGGGGGGGAGAGAGAGTTCTATGCGGATGGTGAGCGCGCACCAGCTGTTCATATGAGTGGAACTGTGCACATGAGCGCAAGCAGCCACTGTTTGCATGAGTGGAGCTGCGTGTGCATGTGTGCTTGCCCACTTGCATGGCCCGGTTCCGAACAGGCCACAGCCCACTCGTGGGCTGCGGCCCGAAGATTGGGGACCCTCGGTCTAAGCCAGTGATGGCAAATCTTTTAGAAACTGAGTGCCCCAAAACCGCCCCCACCTCCCGCCCACCCCTGCTCTGCGCCCCGTCCACCCGCAGGGCCACCCACCGCCTCCATGGCCCGCCACAGATCACCCAGGCAGCCTAGCAGTGCCATGGCAACCACGCCCTCCGTCCACGCGCCATAGCATCATCTGCGTGTGACAGGGCGCGAGGACGGAGTCTTGTCCCCGCTGCCTGGCTGCCATGTCCTTGGCTGCGCTGTTCTGCGCGTACCGCGCTCGGGGGCAACTCTCCTGGGGGGTGGGCTGCTGGTGAGAAGGGGGCTGTGGGGGGAGGCAGGGCTGGGGCAATGGCACGCGTGCCCACAGAGAGGGCGCTGAGTGCCACCTCTGGTCTAAGCCTTACAAAATTTGGACTTTGAGTGACAGGTTATTACAACATTCATATGAATAAAACCACCCAGTATAAAAGTGGACTGCTTCTATTTGATGAGCTTCTGAAAGAATAAAAAAATCCACTTGTTTAAATAAAGCACATGCATTTATTTATATACACCCCACCCCTCCATTATTTTTGCAAATAACTCCAAGTGGCGAACATATCCAACAGAATGTCCTCCTGTTTTCCCAACAACCCTGTGAAGCGAGTTGAGCTGTGTGTGTGTGTGTGACTGGCCCAAGGTCATTTGCACTGTTACCCCATTTTGTTCAATAAATTAATTCTACGTATGGATTCCTATCGAAGTCAAAGCTGGAATTCAGTTTAAGGAAGTGAGGAACCGGGGAAAAGAACTTTGTAATATTTATTCTGGAGGAGGACAAGGGAGATAATGGCGGCAAGGAACTGTGCTAACTAGATCTACAGCTACCATGTTTCCCTGAAAATAAGACCCCCAACCAGAAAATAAGCCCAGCGTGATGATTCAGGATGCTCGCAATACAAGCCCCACCCCCAAAATAAGCCCCAGTTAAGATTGTCAGCCAGACGGATGCATTTAGTACTGTTTCCCCAAAAATAAGACTGGGTCTTATTTT